CATTCCACAAACATGACAGCATATAAATTAATGATACAAATAAATTGTTGTACACAGAGTGGCTGTGGAGAGAGAAGTGAAGAAATTCCCCCCTTAGCATCTGCTATACAAATTATCGTAGGACAAGAAATAAAATTAACGAGTTAAGGCCAATTGCAACGGCAGAAAGAAATATAGATATTACACTACCCGACGCGTAGTTCAATTTGAAAAATAGGGACATGTATGCCGCAGGTCACACAGAGAAGTATAAGTTAACGTGCACTGAAAGTACACAAATCAAGGAAGTGTCGATGTATATTAAGCATATTTAAATCATAGCATCAGAAATTATATGAAAGTGGAAGAGATGGATACTTGAATACATTTGACGGAAGTTTCTCTACTGACGTTTAAATCTAGACAATGATCAAGGTAAACTCTTATTGGACGAAATTCCTAGGGCATCTAGATTTAAAAATGTAGTTTTAATGGGTGATTTTTTTTTAACTTAAGCCAAACTGACTGGAACAATTATGCAGGAAATCTTAGAGAGCTACGAATTTCTAGAAGTGGTTCAGGACTACTGTTTAAAACAGTTTGTCATGAAACCAACTAGACTCGCAGGTGTTCCCAACCTGCTGCCCACTGGCCCCATGTGGCCCTTACAAGAAATAAATGCGGTCTTCATATGGAATTATTAATTCACTTCTATGTAGGTTCCACTCTGCACAGTGTCAACACAACAGTGCGGCCATCATCACAAATTAGTTTTGGCAGATGTCATACCCATTTACAAAACAGGATATAGGTCCTTGGCTTTAAGTTATAAACCAATCAGCTTAACCTCAGTTTTAAGAAAATTAATAGAATCAGTTGCAGATAAAATTCAAAGCCACCATGAAGGGTTTATATAAGTTGGTTAATGAATGTCAGCACAATTTTTCAAAAGGGCGTTTTTGTCTTGCGAATCTACTAACTTTTTACTAAAGTGGCAGACCATGGTGAAGAAGAATACGATATTGTGCATGTGGACTTCACTAAGGTTTTTGATAGTTCCATACAAGAAAGTGGTGGTGCACGGAATATGAGGGGAAATTATCTCCTGGATAAACAATAGTTTGTATAAATGAAGAGAAACCAGAATGGGGACATTTTGAAAGTGGTGTTCCACAGGGGTCAGTATTGGGATCCTTGTTGATCACAATCTACATAAACGACATAGAGAAGGGAATACATAGTAACATAAACAGATTTGTTGATATTAAAATAGGTTATCAGGTCATTCCTGATGAAGGCACTAGAGCTACAGGATAACCTTGGTAGGTTAATGTGTGGTCGAAAATGTGGCAGACACAGTTTAATGTGGACAAATGTAAGGTTCTAATCCTAAGATAAAATTCATATAGAATTTATAATCTAAATATATATCTTGATCAAATTGAATGCATAAAAAATAGTTTGATTAGCAGAAATATAAAACCAAATGCAACAATGTATAAGTACAATAGTTGCAATAAAACTAATATAATTCTTAGCTTCATGTCAAGTATAAATAATGGAAGGACTCATTTAGATTGTGCTGCTCAGTTTTGGTCTCTTGTTAAAAAATGGACATAAATGAATTGGAAAACATATAGAGAACGATGACAAAGTTGATCATGATTCACGAAATCGTAATGACACGATTGCAAATAAACCATACCATGGACGGGGATTGAACCCGCGATCAGAGAGTCATAGAACTCCAGACCGACGCGTTAGCCACTGAGCCAGCTGGCTACAATGGTTTGTTTACAAGTTGATCCCATGTATCAGATATTTCTTACAAAGATTAGTTAAAGCCACTAAATTTTGACTCTCTGGAAAGGCGAAAAATTAGGGAGGATGTGATTGAAGTGTGCAAATAAACAATCGGAATTAATAAAGGAGATATGAATAACTTGTTGAAAATATCAAACCAAGGCAGGACTCGCAGAAATGAATTCACGATGGATAAATTTAGATTTGGAAAGGAGCGAGAGCGTTGGGTGGCTTTAAAAATAGATTGAACAGGTGGAGTAGTGGGTGAGTATGACTTGGACCTGCCCAGCATGGGCCAGTAGGCCTCTGTGTACATGTTCGTGTACTAACAGAGTTGTTTGTAGGGGGGTCAAGACTCGGCTTCAGGACCAGTCTTCTAGAATACCTTGATTGGCATTTCTCATTTCTAGTCACTCGTGCATTATTATATCTATTCATGTATCTATGTATTGCCCTTTCCTTCATCACTACCCGAAATTAAAAAAAAAAAAAAAGATACATTCTTGCATCTCTCTGACTTAGTTATGTCTTCAGCTTCCACTTGTGTCCCTTGATTGTGGTTCTCCTAAGTCAGAAAGTTTGTCGCTGGTTAGCTGGCCAATCAATTCCTCTTAAGGGACACGTCAGTTCCCTGTCTTCTAAGAATGTTATTGTACCTTGTCCATAATCACTATTGCATTTGCTTTGTCTGCTTTCGTAAGGTGAAGTCCAGGATCTTTCCTTAATTCATGGTATAACTTAACAGATCTATGAGGACAATGGTTTCTGAGTTATGCTCAGACCTCAACAACACAATTGTCATCAAAGATTTGTTAAGTTCAATCATGAATTAAGAAAATATCCTAGACTCCACCTTACGAAACCAGACAAAGGCAATAGTAATTATGGACAAGGTAGATTATAGGGGAAAAATAAACACGATATTATTAGACAGGGAAACTCAGGCGCCTCTTAAGATTTTTTATGTCGTAATCGTGCCTTCGCATATCCTTTTCAAGTTATTTCCTTCAACCTCTCCTCTTATTGCATTTCCCCTCAGGTCTGGCACTAGTGTGGTTGCAAACCGGATCTGGGGGGAATGCAGAAGGAGAGGTTGAAGGAAATGAACCTGAAAAGGACAAGATTACGACATCCAAAAATCTTAGAGGAACTGATAGACCAGCTAGGGACAGACTTTCTGAGTAAAGAAAACTACAGTCATGGGACACAAGTTGAAGCTGAAGACAGATGAGTTTCTTCACGTCCCTGAGCAGGTGTGGCTCTATGACGGAGCCACGGACTCGATGATTGGCCTAATATTTGTGTACTCACCTAATTGTGGTAGCTATGGTTGCAGGGATCGAATCATAGCTCTTGGCTGTGTGTGTGTGTGTGTGTGTGTGTGTGTGTGTGTGTGTGTGTGTGTGTGTGTGTGTGTGTGTGTGTGTGTGTGTGGTGTGGTGTGTGTGTGCGTGCGTGTGTGCGTGCGTGTGCGCGTGTGCGCGCGCGCTTACGGAGTTGTTTGGTGGTTGAGACTTCGAGAGTGGCCCGGCCTCTTGGCTTGAAAAAGTGACCTGCATTTATTAATTCCCGTCATATTGGACCCTAACATGTCTGCTCTTGAAACCTTATAAATAATTTGGTTCTTCTTTCTCATTCCCCTTGACGCCTAGAGGCTAAAAACAATTCTTTCTCTGTTGCTCATTTGCGTTTTCAGCTGACATGTGTCTCGTGGTTCCCTCTTCGCATTTCAACCAGCCTGTCCTCTCCATTTTCTCTAATCACCTGAGTATTTTGCATGTCACGATAATGTCCTTTCATATATTAGGTATAAATTCTTAAAGGTTTCCTCATTGGCTGTATCGTGAAGTTGATAATTTCACTTCCTCTCATATTTTTACTTCCACTTATTAGCATTGAATTTTTGTGGCCACGTATAGTCACAACAGCATTCCTGGAGGGTTCAGTAGGAAAACAAGCAGATAATTTGCAAAGGAAACTGTAGACGACGTTTTGGTATGTTCTTAATTATTATCAAGTCATATCAGATTTGTGACGATAATGAAATCGAAAGTGGTTGGGCCATTTATCTTTACTCATCCTACTCCTTCACACATTTCTACCCTTTCTTACCCGCAGTACCATTACCAGGGCTCTGATCATGTCGCGCTGCGTTGACTCTGAACAGACCAAAACATCTACCCATGTTAGTCTAGCATGGTTCTTACTGGGCCATCTTCATTGGCATTGTCTTATAGAAGAGAGAGACAGGCCCGTTTGATCCTGCAGACGAGAAGCAAGTTATACTGTGTTAAGAAGTACGTGCTAGAACCTCCATTTCCACAGGAACCTTCACTTTAAGATGATTCTGTCAACTGAGGATAAAGCGCATTCATGACACCCTTGCTTACCTGCTCACAGGAAATTCTGCTCTTGTCTGTGCGACTTGTAGCTTGAGTATGGGAGCACAGTGTAACACAGGGGAAAGATAGCAAGAGGATTTGGAAGTTAACACCGAGGCTGTCTGCTGAGAATTATGAACTACTGTCTAAATTAAGGACTACCGTATATTGTCAAAGAGTACGAGCCCAGGATTAAAGAACTGTCAATGACTGTGCTCCATATTTTAACTTTATAAACACATTTTTTTTTTAATATAATGGCAGGGTTTTCTACTCTACAAACTGGGGTGGTATGAGGATAGCGAGAGTGCTGATGGGTGTCAGGGGGCAAGAGTGTTGATGGGTGTCAGGGAGCAGGAGTGGTGATGAGTGTCAGGGGGCAGGGGTGGTGATTGATCTTTGGATGGAGGGGAAGGGGGTGGAGGTGGCGATGGATGTCAGGTGGTGGGCGAGGGTAGTGATGGATATCGATGGGGAGGGGGGGTGCAGGTGTGGGCCAGGATTAGTGCTGGAGGGGAAGGGGTTGGGGTGAGTGGGATGTGGTTGGAGGAGGGCCCTTCCCCAACCACCCCTCCGTTGCACTCGCCAAATTAGCATGGCACTGGTGCCAGGCCAGCGCGCGCCCCTACACTGTTTTATAAACCAACAACGTCACGTGTGCCACTTCATCCAAAAAACCACAACACTAGAACCTTCTTAAAGTTTGCTGATTCTGACCCTAACGTTGTACTGTAGAGTCGGAAAACAGGAGGAGGCGTGGTTAGGCAGCGTGGCTGGGTAGTTTGTGACGAGGTGCGATGCCAGTGGAAGTTTGTTTTGCTGGGCATTCCTGGGCACTAGTGTGCTCCGGGCAGGGCGTGGGCACGGACGTGGTGCTCTCCTCAACACGCGCGCGCGCTGCCTCCGTACTCCGTACGTGTCACTGGGGAGGAAACCCAAACAACAGTTATTGCCGTCTGGTGTTTACTGGGTGACCCATGAAGTAGTGGCCTGTACGTGACGTGTTACGTGGCGTGGACGTGACGTGTTACGTGGCGTGGACGTAGCCTGTACGTGACGTGTAGTGTGGCCTGTACGTGACGTGTAATGTGGCCTGTACGTGTTGTGTAGTGTGACTTTTGCATGGCGTGTATCTGGTCTTTACATGAAGCGTTGTGTGGCCTGTACTTGACGTGTAGAGTGACCTGTGCGTGACGTTTAGTGTGGCCTATACGTGACGTGTTGCGTAGCCTGTATGTTGTGTACAGTGACGTATAGTGTGGCTTGTTCGTGTTGCGTAGTGATGGGGTGTGTAGTGTAGTGTAGTGTGGCCTGTACGTGACGTGTAGTCCCGTATAGCGTTGCATGTACTTTGTTAAATGACGAATTGTATTCTCTGTACGTGGTGTCTATTTGTGATCCGTACGTGGCGTATGGCGTCTGTGGTTTGCACACGGTGTGTTTACGTTTAATGTGGTCTGTACATGGTGTGTATTGACGTGTAGTGTGTCCTGAACGTAGTGTGTAATGACAGTGTGGCCTGTACGTGACGTGCAGTGTGGCCTGTGCTTGACGCAAAGTATGGCTTGTGCGTGACTCGAAGTGTTGCTTGTACGTGACCTAAGGAGATTTGAGAGACATTGTCATCTGTAAACCAACACTGTTGCTTCTTTCTAGGCGCTTAAGTTTTTCTTGTTGTCTTTCCTAGCACCCTTTCCTAGCACCCTTTCCTAGCACTTTCCTAGCACCCTTTCTTAACACACTTTCCTAGCCACAATGTTGTCTAGTTCTTGTATAATATTAATATTTTGCAATACCTGTGAGCTGAGGAACGAGACATGTGTGCAACACGTGAATGTCGCTATTTCCCAAACGTTTCGCCTGAGCAGCAGGCTTCTTTAGTCGAATACAGAGGCTTCTTCAGTTCTACAGACAGTGAAGAGGTAATTATTTGCTGTTAGCCCTGACAGGTGATTAGTCCCTCAGTTTTGATGATCTTTTACCGAAGCTGAGGGACTGACACCTTAAACCTCTCTCTACATTTCTTTTATTGTCTCCAGTATTCGACTGAAGAAGCCTAGTGAACAGGCGAACCGTTTCAGCAATAAAATACCCAAATGCTGCACGTAGCACTGAAAATGGATTGGGTAAATATTTTTGTTAGTGGGTTTGGGTTTGAGAAGGACATGCCTAGTATGGGCCAGTAGGCCTGCTGCAGTGTTCCTCCTTTCTTATGTGTTTGATCAGTTCAACACTTCCTACCCCTTTTTTCCACCTGCATACTGGGATCACATGTGTCCGACGGTCGCCCTGTTTCTGTTAGCACTTGTATCACCTCGCTAAGGTTCCCACAGTTCACCTGCGTCTTCTCACAACATCCGAGGTGATAGCTGGTACTATTGCAACTCATTTTTGTAGAGGTACTCCTACTCCTCCGTGTATCTCTTACTCTGTATTTGTTCCTCCTACTCCTCTGTTCATTTTCCTCTTACTGTACATAATCCTCTAATGTTTATTGCTCATCCATTTCAACCCTTCCTCTTGAAGTTTTACCAGGATCCTGAGTGAATATCTCTGTCAAACATCTATTAAATTCTTCGCAAACTTTCTCTTGTAGTTTGCCAGGTCACACTGGCCCATCCTCCTTCCTGCATGTTTACCCGTTGTCAAAGGTACTTGTGGCTAGAGACACAGTCTTCATGTTTGTGGCTGTGTACTCACCTTCACTATATATATGATTAAAGGAATTGAGCCTCAGCTCCTGGCCCCGACTCTTTGCTAGCTGCTACCTGTTTGTTACTATTTGTCAGAGGCGCTTGTCGATAGACACTTGGCCTGGTGGGTTCTGTTGTTGTCGTATGTGTGTGTGTGTACGTACTCACCTATATGTGGTTGCAGAGGTCGAGTCACAGCTCTTGGTCCTGCCTTTTTGCTGGTCACTGCTTGGTCCACTCTCTCCCGGCTCTAAGAGCCTTATCGTACATCTTCGTAAAGCTGTGTATGGTTCCCGCATCTACTATTTCATTCTCCAGATTGTTCCACTTTCTGATAACCCTTGGGCTGAAGAAATGCTTCCTAACATTCCTATGACTCAGATGAGTCTTCAACTCTCAGGTGCCTATGTACCATCTATGAAACATTCTGCTCCTGTGCACCTTGTCAATTCCTTTCAGTATTTTGTACGTCGTTTTCATATCCCCCCCTTGCGTGTATATGTGTGTGTATGTATATGTGTGTTTGTATGTGTGTATACATGCGTACGTTTATATGCGTGATCATTCACCTATGTGTGATGTCAGGGGTCGTGTTTTAGCTCCTGGTCCTATCTCTCAACTTGCCTCTTGCCAGATTCATTCCTAGCTTCGTGGATCCTATTATAATTATACTTTAAACTAAGTATTATGTCTGCCCCCACTACTTTATCCAAGTCATTCACCTTCCTGACCACCCTCAGACTGAAGAAATACTTCCTGACATCCCTGCGACTCATCTGTCTCTCTAGCTAGACACACGTGTACTAGAGAGCAAAGCTTCCAACTTTGCTCTCTAGTACACGTTTCCCGCCTCTGAAGCAGCGTGTGCGCGTGCTCGCCTGCTTATGGTTGTAGGGATCGAGTCTCAGCTGCTTGTTGCGTGAGTCCTGTACTCGCCTATATGTGGTTGCAGGGGTCGATTCACAGCTCCTGGTGTGTGCATGCGTGTGTCTGTCTGACTGACTAATTTAAATCTTAAAAGACGTGAACATTCTCTCTCTCTCTCTCTCTCTCTCTCTCTCTCTCTCTCTCTCTTCTCTCTCTCTCTCTCTCTCTCTCTCTCTCTCTCTCTCTCACACACACACACACACACACACTTTTTCTTTGCTTCTCATGAATATCGTATGCGGAGTCTGTTGCAAAATTGCATTTATAGATTTGTGTGCCATGTGCGTCACTAGTGCGAAATATTTTTCGACCAATGAATCATTGCAAAAAAAAAAAAAAATGTGCGAAATGTGCCTTACAGAAAACTATGTGGTGAAAGAGATTTTTCTGTGTGAGTGTCAGCGTGTGACCGTCTACGAGGAGTGTCAGCGCGCCACTGGCAGGGTGGACTGTGCTTTTGCGAAGTGCTGACTCCCATCTCTGTCAGTGTTGGCACCATGAGTGCCTGTGGGCAGGCCTGGGTGTGGATGGCACTGCTGTCTCTTCTGCCCATGACCACGTTACTCTACACTCCTGAAGACCGACTAGGTAAGTTATGCCCATGATCCTTTCTCTGAGGCTGCTGGGGTTGTCACTGGGGGTTGTTACTGGGGGTTGTCACTGGGGGGTTGCCAATGGGTTATCACTGGGGTTGTCACTGGGGTTGTCACTGGGATTGTCACTGGAGGTTGCTAGGGTTGTTACCCGGGGTTGCTGGGGTTGTCACTGGGATTGTCACTGTAGGTTGCTAGGGTTGTTACGGGGGTTGCTGGGGTTGTCACTAAGGTTGCTGGGGTTGTCACGGAGTTGCTGGGGCTATCACTGGTAGTTGCAGAGGTTGTCCTTGAAGATTGCAGTGGTTATTCCTGGGGTTTTCTAAGGTTATCAGTAGGAGGATGTTACGATATTAGGTCCGAGTTGACTGGACTCGTTCTCAGTTTTCACAACTAAGGTTGGTCATGGCTGCTGCCATCCCCCAACTAGTTCTTTCGTGACGTTCATCACCGTCTCTCATCCCTGCCCTGAGGTGGTCGTGGTCTTAGTACGGTGCTGATCACCTATGTTGTAAATGAAAATCACTTAATTTTCAAATTTAAATATATTCAAATTTAATTATATTGTCGAATACTTTTCAAAATGAAAAGTATTCGACAATGTAATTAATATACTTTTCGTTAATTTTCTGTGTGTGTGTGTGTGTGTGTGTGTGTGTGTGTGTGTGTGTGTGTGTGTGTGTGTGTGTATATATATATGTATATATATATATATATATATATATATATATATATATATATATATATATATATATATATATAATATATATATATATATATGTTAGTAGACAGCAACCACCCAGGGAGGTACTACCGTCCTGCTGAGTGAGTGTAAAACGAGAGCCTGTAATTGTTTTACATGATGGTAGGATTGCTGGTGTCCTTTGTCTGTCTCATAAATATGCAAGATTACAGGTATATCTTGCTACTTCTACTTACACTTAGGTCACACTACACATGTACACGTTTATTTATACACACTCATCTGAGTTTTCTTTCATTTTATCTCAATAGTTCTTGTTACTTTTCCTTTTATATCCATGGGGAAGTGGAATAAGAATCTTTGCTCCGTAAGCCATGCGTGTTGTAAAAGTCAACTAAAATGCGGGGAACAGTGGGATAATAACCCCTTTACCTGTATAGCCTACTAAAAAGAAAAAGAAAATGGTCAAAGTGGGATGTTTGAATGTGTGTGGATGTTGTGCGAATGATGACAAAGAGATGATTGTGGATGTTATGAATGAGAAGAAGCTGGATGTCCTGGCTTTAAGTGAAACAAAGCTGAAGGGGGTGGGAGAGTTTCAGTGGAGAGGAATAAATGGGATTAGGTCAGGGGTTTCAAATAGAGTTAGAGCTAAAGAAGGAGTAGCAATAATGTTGAAGGCTAAGCTATGGCAGGAAAAGAGGGACTATAAATGAATTAATTCAAGGATAATGTGGATTAAAATAAAGGTTGGTTGTGAGAAGTGGGTTATAGTAAGCGTATATGCACCTGGGGAAGAGAGAAGTGTAGAGGAGAGAGAGAGATTTTGGGAAATGTTGAGTGAATGCGTGGGGAGTTTTGAACGAAGTGTGAGAGTACCTGTGGTTGAGGATTTCAATGCTAAAGTAGGTAAAAATGTTGTGGAGGTAGTAGTAGGTAAATTTGGGGTGCCAGGGGTAAATGAAAATGGGGAGCCTTTAATTGAGGTATGTGTAGAAAGAGGTTTGGTAATAAATAATCCATATTTTATGAAAGAGGATAAATATACAAGGTATGATATAGCACATAATGAAAGTAGTTTGTTAGATTATGTATTGGTGGATAAAAGGTTGATGGGTAGGCTCCAGGATGTACATGTTTATAGAGGGGCAACTGATATATCAGATTATTATTTAGTTGTAGCTACAGCTAGAGTAAGAGGTAGATGGGACAAGAGGAAAATGGCAACAAGAAGTAAGAGAGAGGTGAAAGTGTATAAACTAAGGGAGGAGGAAGTTCGGGTGAGATATAAGCAACTATTGGCAGAAAGGTGGACTGGTGCAAGCATGAGTAGTGGGGGGATTTTTGAAGAGGGTTGGAATAGTTTTAAAAATGCAGTATTAGAATGTGGGGCAGAAGTTTGTGGTTATAGGAGGTTGGGTGTAGGGGGAAAGAGTGACTGGTGGAATGATGAAGGGTGTGATAAAAGAGAAAAAGGTAGCTTATGAGAAGTTTTTACAAATCAGAAGTGTTATAAGAAGAGCAGAGTATATGGAGAGTAAAAGAAAGGTGAAGAGAGTAGTGAGAGAGTGCAAAAAGAGAGCAGATGATAGAGTGGGAGAAGCACTGTCAAGAAATTTTGATGAAAATAAGAAAAAAATTTGGAGTGAGATAAATTAAGAAAGCCTAAGGAAAAATGGATTTGTCAGTGAAAAACAGAGTAGGGGAGTTAGTAGATGGGGAGATGGAGGTATTGGGTAGATGGTGGGAATATTTTGAGGAACTTTTAAATGTCGACGAAGAAAGGGAGGCCGTAATTTCATGCACTGGCCAGGGAGATATACCATCTTTTAGGAGTGAAGAAGAGCAGGATGCGAGTGTGGGGAAAGTGTGCGAGGCATTACGTAGAATGAAAGGGGGTAAAGCAGCTGGAACTGACGGGATCATGATAGAAATGTTAAAAGTATTGGGGAATATATTGTTGGAGTGGTTGGTATTTTTGCTTAATAAATGTATGAAAGAGGGGAAGGTACCTAGGCATTGGCAGAGAGCATGTATAATCCCTTTATATAAAGGGAAGGGGGACAAAAGAAATTGTAAAAATTATAGAGGAATAAGTTTACTGAGTATACCAGGAAAAGTGTACAGTAGGGTTATTATTGAAAGAATTAGAGGTAAGACAGAATGTAGGATTGCAGATGAGCAAGGAGGTTTTAGAGTGGGTAGGGGATGTGTAGATCAAGTGTATACATTGAAGCATATATGTGAACAGTATTTAAAGGTAGGGAAGTTTTCGTTGCATTTATGGATTTAGAAAAGGCATATGATAGTGGATAAGAAGCAATGTGGCAGATGTTGCAAGTACGTATGTGGAATAGGTAAGTTACTAAATGCTGTAGTAACGGGTGTGTAGAAGAGAGGGAGAATACTTCCTGGTAAAAGTAGGTCTTAGACAGGGATGAGTAACGTCACCATGGTTGTTTAATATATTTAAAGATGGGGTTGTAAAAGTAGTAAATGCTAGGGTGTTCGGGAGAGGGGTGGGATTAAATTATGGGGAATCAAATACAAAATGGGAATTGACAGTTACTTTTTGCTGATGATACTGTGCTTATGGGAGATTCTAAAGAAAAGTTGCAAAGATTAGTGGAAGAGTTTGGGAGAGTGTGTATAGGTAGAAAGTTGAAAGTGAACATAGAAAAGAGTAAGGTGATGAGGGTATCAAATGATTTAGATAAAAAATGGATATCAAATTGGAGAGAGGGAATATGGAAGAAGTGAACGTTTTCTGATATTTGGGAGTTGATGTGTCAGCTGATGGATTTATGGATAGAATTGATGAATGAAAAAAGGTGAGTGGTGCATTGTGGTATATGTGGAGACAAAAAACGTTATCTATGGAGGCAGAGAAGGGAATGTATGAAAGAATGGTGGTGCCCACACTCTTATATGGGTGTGAAGCTTGGGTTGTAAATGTTGCAGCGAGGAGGAGGTGGAGATGTCCTGTCTAAGGGCAATGCGTGGTGTAAATATTATGCAGAGAATTCGGAGTGTGGAAATTAGGAGATGGTGTGGAGGTAATAAAATTATTAATCAAAGGGCTGAAGAGGGGTTGTTGAGGTGGTTTGGTCGTTTAGCGAGAATGGATCAAAGTAGAATGACATGGAGAGCATATGAATCTGTAGGGGAAGGAAGGTGGGGTAGGGGTCGTCCTTAAAAAGGTAGGAGGGAGGGGGTAAAGGAGGTTTTGTGAGCGAGGAGCTTGAACTTCCAGCACATGAGCGTGTTAGAAGTGACTGGAGAAGAATGGTGTTTGAGACCTGACGAGCTGTTGGAGTGTGAGCAAGGTAATATTTAGTGGAAGGATTCAGGGAAACCGGTTATTTTTATATAGCCGGACTTGAGTCCTGGAAATGAGAAGTACAATGCCTGCATTTTAAAGGAGGGGTTTGGGATATTAGCAGTTTGGAGGGATATGTTGTGTATCTTTATACGTATGTGTTTCTAAACTGTTGTGTTCTGAGCACCTCTGCAAAAACAGTGATTATGTGTGAGTGAGGTGAAAGTGTTTGAATGATGAAAGTATTTTCTTTTTGTTTTGTTACCCTGCCCAGGTGGGAGACGGCCGACTTGTTGAAATATAAATATTTATATATATATATATATATATATATATATATATATATATATATATATATATATATATATATAATATATATAATATATATATATATGTCGTGCCGAATAGGCAGAACTTGCGATCTTGGCTTAAATAGCAACGCTCATCTTGCCATATAGGACAAGTGAAAAATTGTGTATGCAATAATTTCGCCAAATTCATTCTGAACCTAACGAAAAAAATTTATTTCACTGTGTTTGTTTAGTATTAAATTATTGTAAACAAATCTAAAATATATATAGTTGGGTTAGGCTAAAATAAATTGTTCGTCTTATAATAAGGTTAGGTAAGTTTTCTAAGATTCTTTTGGTGCAAAATTAAAATTTTTTACATTAACATTAATGAAAAAAATATATCTTTAAACGTACAAGAGAAAATTTTAGAAAGGAATTAATTTTAAGTGAGTTCTTGCTAATTGACCAGTTTTACATATTCGGCACGACATTATTATATATATATATATTATATATATATATATATATATATATATATATATATATATATATATATATATATATATATAGGTAGTAGGTTGGTAGACAGCAACCACCCAGGGAAGTACTACCGTCCTGCCAGATGACTGTGTAACAGAAACCTGTAACTGTTTTGCATGATGGTAGGATTGCTGTTTTCT